ATTCAATTTTTCCTGATAGGTTTGTAATCGTCGGAATAACTGTCTGATCGTGCTCTGTCTAGTTTTTTGCGGAGTCTTCTCTCATAAGTATCAAATATCTGATTAATCTCAGAAAATAAAATTCTATTTTCTAAGCAATATTATTATTAAACTATAGTTAGATATTCTGAACGCTGTTGCAATGCAAACGTATTTATATTTTACAGACAAATTTTGCGCGTATTCGGTATTGTGAAACATATTCGTTCTGTAATATTCTGTATATTCTGTATCTTGTAATATAACAAAATGCGCGTCGGGAGTGCCGTTAATGCTGAGAGTGTCATGATAGGTTCGCGCGAGTTCAAAACGTCGAAATATAGCAAATTTATAGATGCACACATTTTCACCGCATGCAAACATTGGGACGTGATCGAATCCCTTTCAAGGGGTGCTTCTCGACTTTGGGCTTGGCTCAGGGGAGGGAAGGATCGATTTTCATGAGTCCCTTCAGTGTCAGACGTGTCAAGACATATAATTATGCGATAATTTTAGCTTTGTTTTAATATTTAATACTGAAAATCTATACGATATGAAGTGAGGATCCAAAGCTAAACTGGTTGTCAATTGCTTAAAATCTGCTTTATTCTTTCGAATTTAGAAACTTGTAGACGTTTCGGCTAATCTTTTAGCCATCTTCAATACATTGAATGTCCAGCAATTACAAAAAAAAAAAAATTGTACTTCAATATTCTTAAATTGTAATCAGTTTATATCATATTTTAAATCTTACGAGTTTTAATATAATTTAACTGAAAATCTAGTTTATTATAGGTTTCGGAAAATACTATATGATTGAAGAAAGCATAGAAGTTGACACAGTTGATTTGAGTATCGGCACCGAAATCCCGTTAGAATTGGCATCGAAATGCTGTTGTGATATCCGGTATTCCGGTTGACCCAATGACTAATCGCACCTTATCTTCTTAAGGCTTACCTTTTGCCCTCTGTTTCGACATATATAATTGTGCTCGAATTGGTAAATGCGGTCGTCTGAAACGCGGGATTTGCGTGACGTCGCATGCCGTTTAAAGTGCCACATAATTTTTGTATTCGAGTACGTGCGAGCAGTTCACAAACGCGTGTGAGTGCCTTGAAGGGCCGCTGACAATAAGAGGGAGAGGAGGCCTCGGCACAAGCAACATCCGAGCAACTATCGCTGTAAGTACCTAATTGTGTGATCGCAAACATATGAATTTTTTAACTATAAAAAAGAGAAAGATTAGAGAAGAATTAACTTAAAATAAATATGCTGCGTTATTTTTTGTATTGCAAATACTTGGAGCGCTGGAATTTTTTAGCGAGAAACTCCGACAAAACAAAGTATGCAAAATGTTTTTTTTTCACATTCTTATGACGATTTACCACGAAAAACTCGTTTGGTGGACTGTACCTCCACTTTCCATATATGTAACGATCGAGAAATGGGAGAGAGGCAGCGTGAGAGAAAGAGAGAAACAGAGAGAGAGAGAGAGAGAGAGAGAGGATAGAGAGAAAGGGAGAAATGGGAGATGGACTTATGGAAAGGAAGGTGGGAGAAAATGGTGGGATGAGAATCAAGCGAAAGAAGGGGAAAGGGAAGGGGGACGCGCGCGCGAGTGGATCGCGGGCTCGGGAGTGTGGGCCCCACCTAGACGCGTGGGACCGACACCCACGATTCTTTGGCATCAACCGATTCTCATCGCGTACACGCTGCACTTACATACATACAGTCGGTTTTTACGACGGGGGAGACAGTCTGTCGGAGTAATAAGAGGAGCATTGGCCACGTGCGCCGACCCCGCGGCCAACCACTTGCATTCAAGGGTCAATCTTTCTCATTTCAGCTCGCTCGCTGCTAGGCTGCTTGCAGACCTGTTTCTCCTCCCATCTTTTCGACGAGTGATATAATTTATAGAGCCCAATTGTGTATTCAAAGATTGATCGTATTTTGCATTAGATACTATGCTTTGTAAAAAATGCAAAGAAAATGGTGGCGAAAAAATTTATAAAAAGGGCACTAAGATATTACACTTTGATATATTTTTTTCACAAAATATAAGTATTGAAAACAATTTTTCTAAAATAAGAATTTATACTAATCTTTGTATTAAAGAGATAATCAATTTATTCAAAAACGCAATCGTAACGTAATTAATAAATTATGCTTGGAATATTTTCATGTAATATATGTATCATGACGTAATATGTAATATGATATATTTATTTATGTAGTATTTTTTGTTATATGAGTATCATAAATTATAAGTACTTATAATATGATGTTTAATTGGAATTTGCGTTTATTTGATTATTATTTGTTTAGAACAGTATTTGTTTTTATTGAATATCCGTTTTACAAAAAAAATTAGCCAATTGAAGTTTGGAACGTTCCTAGAGCGATTTTTTGAAAATGATTTGTCCCATTTCTTTTATTGCACAGAAAAACTTCTAAATAAAGAATAGATCTGATGTACTCTGCGAAAGACACCCTTATATTTAAAAAACATTCTCTAGAGCACTTAATAATTCTGGTTACGCTGAAAATGCTTTGTCCCATTTCTCCTGTTGCACAGAAAAACTTCTAGGCGTCACAGACAAAATACACAATAGAAATAAAATACAAATATTTAAAAAATATAAAGGTCTTCAGATTATTTCCTCTGTGCAACAGCAGAAATGGGACAAATCATTTTTGGCGAAAAGAGAATTATTTTAAGTGATTTGAGGAGGAAATACAAGAGAAAAAAAACAACTTGTGTTTTCTAGTGCGCAGCATAGTAGGTAAGTCTATGCGCAGTAAGATTATTCTTGATTCGCGCACGATTTATTATTCAATATCGAAAGCGGATCTCCGGCGTTCTACACGTGTTGCCTGTTGGTTCAGCGAGCTTTCTGATAAGAAAGACAGATCGCCTGGCTGGAATTGGACGTAGATCCGCAGGAAACGAGTAGGAGGTAAGCAATGTGGCACTCTCTCGCCAGAACGTAATAAGCGCGTAAAACGATGTCTTCTCCGCGAAAGGTGCAATGAATAATTACGCTTGAAAGACGGATTATTTAATTTTGAAAATAGCTTATTACGTACTTCGACCACGTAGGCGTGAATGCTGCGAAGAAATTTCGACTGCAAAAAAGTTTTATGATATTTTATTGAACATATAAAAAATAATTTTAGAAAATTTTAGAAAACAGAAGTATCAGAAAATTTGAAATTAAATTTATAATAAAAGTGGATTTGTTATATAAAAATATTTTTCAGCAAAATATAATAATTTTTAGTAATTATTATCAGTCTGTTAAATAAATAACTGACTGGGTTGTTAAAATTTAATTGATTGCGTTATACTTCGGATATAATTATTTTTATCAAAAAGAATCCAATTCTAAATATTATTTCATGGTTATAATAACTCTTTTTTATAAAATAATTTCATAAAATAATTAATATTGAAATTATAATTACTAAAAAAATTTTCTAATTTAATTTAAAAGATAGAGTAAAGATTTGTGATAAACAAATTTTTTAAACCTTATCCAAATTAATTTCTCGTATTTGTTATTAAAATATAGAAGGAAGTATAAGAAAATGTAGAACATTTTATATGTTCATAAGCTGGATTTTGCAAAAAAAATAGCGAGAATAATTACGCAATTTAGATCACTATGTATATGTAAATTCTATACATTCTTCACTCTGTCTAGTATTTCGAATCTTCTTTATCAGCATGACATGTTTCGTTAAGAATGTCTTCATTTTTCTTTCTTTATTTGTAAAATATGAGAGATGGCACTGAAAATATGCCCATATCGCCTACAGTTTGAACTTTTATATCAATGATTGAAACAAAGATGAGTTAATACTAAATACTAAACTAAACATTAGGCTTAAAAAAATAATCGCAGCAACAATCTCATTTACATATTAGCCATAAATGAAGCTTACAATCGGGAAGAGTACACATAGTAATAAATTAAAGATAAATGAAAAAACTTGTGTTATGTACTAATCAATGAAACACTACAATAAACTAATTGTAAGACATAAAATTCAGATTGACTTAATTAGGAATTTTAAGCTAAATAACTATTTAACATACTTAAGAGTGGAAGAGTTCTTACCACGCATGCCAGAAAGATTCAGAATTTAAAGGCATATCGTCCAAATTTTTCCTTCGGATTATATTAGTAGCGAAAGAAATAACCTCACCCGCACAAAGGCGAGTGGGGTTATCTGACGCAGCAGGCTGAATACTCAGAAAAGGTATGGCAGACGAACGAAAAACTGAATATCAAAGAAGCGCGAGTTAAAAGAAGTAGCCACAAGGCAAATACAAGAGAAAATCAGATCGAAAAACTAATGAAAACTTTTATAAAGGCAGCGATATAATAATCCGGTCCAAGTCAGACCAAATATCTACGATGTCTGAGCTTAGGAATATCATTCGTGTCGTGACATCTATTGTGTATACTCTCTGCGATATGATTATACTTATTATCCAAAATCTAAATTTGATACTCTTGATAACAAATGCAATTTACCATTTATATGTTTAATTTGTAACATTATTTTGAAACGCGTGACTTCAACTGACAACAATTAGATTTTCAAGAGTTCAAAATAAAGATCGGTGTAATGATTCACAATTTACTGCGAATCCGTTATGTCTTGAAAGTTACATTACTATTCACAGATGAAAAAATCGAAAGTGACCAAAAAATGATAAAACATTGAAATACAATTAAGCATATTGCAATAGACATTGTAAGTCAAACCTTTTTTCATATACATTCTGTCTAATAAGAAATTCTTCATATTATATTTCAAGGTTAATTAAAGAATATATTGAGACTCGATTGTTTCTAATGTCATATAAAAACCAATTATGTCATGTAACATGCTCCCAAATTAAATAAATAATTAATTATTTGTATTAAATAATTATTGAATAATGCAATACGTATTTTTTTATTTTTGTTTCGAATATTCATACTTTTTTTTACAAATTAATTAAATATTAATAAAACATTAATAAAACATTAAGCAGTATGGAATTGGATGACATATCGGATTATTATACTCCTTTACGTAATCACATTTCTTCACTTTCTTTCAAATGTAATAATAATGCCTCCATTTTATTTAATACATTATACTTACTTGTCATGAACATATCTATTATTACTATTCTCTTCTTTTGCTTTTACTAACAATAATCGATAAAGTTTGTTTTTAATGATAAACGAATCTAGATAATTATTCATATAACTTTGTTTTTATAAAATAAAAAATGAAAAATGAGAGAAACAGATGTTAACAACGATAATTCATTGGAAAGTCTCTACTTTAAATCAAATAGTAACAAATTGATCAACGGTTCTAAACTGACACGCGGTTTGCAATTTTAGTTCCCTGCATCCTCTTTCATACATGTTGATCATGTCTCGTCAATTATACTTCGAATTATTCATATTCTTCGAATGAGTAATTTTCTGGCAGACAATGATGCTGGCGGCAGTAATAATTCTGACCATCTTCCTTGTGACACAACGTTCCATCGGGAAAGTATGTGTCGACACCAATGTTGAGCATTTCTTGGCGTGGAGCGTAGTAATCAGATGATGTTTTCTTTCGACAGTATATAGTACATGCTTTCCACGGTTCTTCGGCATCATGAGAATACTGTCTCCCCGGCAGATTTACCGACAATTCAACCGTCAAATTTGCATCTTTTGCAAATTTGCTAAACTTCCTGCATTTCGTGATAGTAATCTCGTCGATCGTCCATCGTTCCTCAGTACAGAGTAAGGAATCATCGCATAAAACCATGTCGTAATATGATCCTGTGCAATTCGCCGTTCTATGAGTCCTATGTTCGCAAAAACGTCGTTTGACTCGTATGCCTTTGGATTTCCTTAAGCAACTGCTTTTACAAGAGTCTTCCTTCCATTCACTCCAGTTATCATCTTCACAATACTTAAAAATGTACGGCGGTTCGATAACGGGCACGCACTCTCCGCCACGACATTCTTTCCCGAGTGCACAATGAGTTCCTAAAAGAAATTGATACATTTAAAGAATCAAAGAAATTAAACGATAAAATTTACGTATCTAATCAGAAAAAAAGAACGTACCGTTCAGCGCGCGTTTGGCGAAGTAAGACTTATTCTTGTGAGGCGTCTCGCAATGTAAATTTTGACATGTATCATGATACGTGACAACGTTCGCATCTTTGTCACGTAAAAATAATTCGCATTGTGCTTTGGCGGTCCATTCTCTTCCGGGTAAACCGTAATATTGCGGATCTTGAAATATGTCAGATGTCGACCAATTATCATCATAGTCATCATTATTATCATCGTCATCATCATCGAGTTTTTTCCGTCTCGTATTATCTCGTAAACACGATTTTGTTTCCAACAAAGTTTTTATCCTCTCGCGATTATCTGGAGACCATGTTACGCTGCTTGGATAGGGTCGGGCACGTGACATTATGTATTCGTCTTCTTGTTGCCCATCGGGTTCCAATCCTAAACTGTTGATCGTGTAAATCAATTAATTTTGAAATATGTTTTTTACTTTGCATTGTTTAAGTAAAATACTTTTCTGTATCTTATAATTTTTTAATACTTATCATACTGAACAAATGAACGATAAGATCTCTTAATATACTCTCTTTACTTTTACTTTAAAACGTACAATTAAATAGGTTGTCGTAAAAAAATGTTAAACTTTATTTATACATAAAATTAGTATACACTTACAGATTTCCGATTAAATGAACGGCATTGAAAGATGATCTGAAACCTGCAGTTTCGATTTCATTTGGAAGAAATTGGACTATCGCGCATGAAGAATGCGGGTTGCATGCACCATCGTGATAGGATTCTCCCCAAATTTCATAGTTTTTACGCTGTACAGTCGCCTTCCCAAAACCTATCGATGTACTTTTAAAAAGATTCATTTGTGTTATGTAAAGGCCAATGTCCCAGTGACCTGGATCATTGTCATATGGAGGATTAAGTGTTTTCGCGTAGTTGCAAAACGAACGGAGCAGTGATTCACTTTCGCCGTCAAAAACTGGCAAAGTTGCCGGTTGTTTTCTCAAAATGATCACACGTATCAGATAAATATCGATGAGGATACCCAAACTCGGATGATGAAAGCAAGTCTGGATATAATTCACATATACAGACATTATCTCTCGTATCTTTGCATCATCGTGTAGAACAGCCTTAAACTGGCGATATGTTTCTGCATCAATAAATACGGCCAATTCTATGGTAAAATTTTCTTCCTTATTTTTTACGTCACGTTGTTTCCGTTTAAAATTGTTCATATGGTGAAAATTAGAATCATCATAATATTGAAGTGATCTTTTAATAAGATGAGGTTTGCCAAATGTTTGATTAATTTGTTCTTTAATGCAAACATCGTCGGTGAAGATCAAAGGGGCAAACACGTTCTGTAAAGGCTGTATCTCTAACATATTATCTTCCACAAAAATATATCCTTCCTACTTTAAAAAAAAAAATATATATATATATATATATATGTTTTATGCTTGTCAAATGAAGAGAAATAAAGGTGGAAAGTAAAATCATGACAATTTCAAAACAGTTTGTTTCTCATATGCAGTGGCGCACCCATGGGAGGGGGATTGGGGTTAAACCCCCCCCCAAAATTTAATTAATATACCTTATTTTTTTATTAACTTAACAGTAAAAAGTAAAAAATCTGTAGTTAAATAAAATGCGTTCAAACATTTGTATTTTTTGTCTGTTATTAAGTATAGTCACAATTTTAATAATTCAAAATTCACGTCAATATCCTTGCACACAAATAATTATGATAGCTTCTCCGGCTATATTGCTGTTCGAACGTATATAATATCTACGTACTTTAAAATATTTATATTGTGAAAGAATTTAAATAAGTTACTTAAGAAACATCTAGCAGCCATATATATATAGATAAATTTTCTGATTAAGCAATCCAGTTAATCTGATTATTTAAGAAAAACCAAGAAAATTCGATATCAATTTATAATTATGCTACTATAAAAATAAATTGTAATTTTTTATTAAACGATGTAACATTTTTATATTTTTTAGTGTGCAATATAAAATTATCCTGACTTTTAGTTTCATTGTGTGTGTGTGAATTTTAAATCCCCCCCTGAAAAAATATCCTGAGTGCGCCACTGCTCATATGATACTACTGACCAATCCATGTTCTTGACAAAAGTTGATGACCGCAGAACTGACATGATCTTTGTGAAGATAGAAACAAGTATTCGAAGATTTCAATTTCGACAATTTTTCTGCGACACCCTTTGCGTTATTTCTCCATACTTCGAACGCAGACGATACAACCTGGTCATTTCTACGCAGGTTCAGCTGCATGAATTTTCCGAAAACTTTCAGAGTTAATGGTATCTGTTAATTAAATGACCAGAAAGATTATTATAATCTATGAATAGTGTAGTAATAAATAAAACACTACAATAAAACGCACGTATATATACCTCTTTTGCTCCTGTTGGATTCCATGCCGGCAGCAATATTATTTCGCAATCTTGCGTGATATACGCATGCGTCTTATTTGTTAAAATTATTAATACCAATTTCAATAAAAGAAACATATTTAGTTTGAATGTCTGTATTTTAATTACTTGAAAATATTTAATTGAATTTCTTTTATATACACACAATTACAAATTTTTATACACACGTAATTAAACTATTACATTCGTTGTATGTTAAAAGATCGCGTGTCAAGCATATACTGATGTCTATGTTATGAATATCATTTGTGTTGTGACATTTCTGTTGTGTATATTTTCTCTGCTATATGTACAAGTTCCTCGAACTTCGTTCGAATAATTTTATAATAATTCACTCTTTTTCTTTCTTTCTTTTTTTCTTCAATGACCTAAAACTCTACGAATTCCTATCTCAACCTTTTATTAATTATATATATTAATATTATAAAAATTAAAATTATATATATTATAATATTAATATAGTGCCTAATTCCGTGATCTAAATTTTAGTGAATATATACCGAAACAACCGAAATTATCGAAACTTTGGGCTCCCCAAAGATTCTTTTACAATGCCTCACCCAATCTTTGTGATCAAACTTGAAAAATCTTTCCACTGAATATCTTTCCACGTTCTTTGAAATAAAAGAAATTTCTAATACAGCTTTCCTTGTTTTAATGTCTTCATAATGATGTCACGTCGATGAGGACATCTAGTTGTGTAGTCCGTCACAAAGCAATTATCCTGTTCGATGAACGTATCGATAAAAACACAACATTAATCATCACCCGTTTCACGTGTGCAGTTGTGCTCGTAAAGTTCTTCGTGTAGGATTTGTTCTTAAACGCGTCAAAGCGATTGATCTTAATCCCATTCTCTACCGTTGGGTCCTTATCGAGACTTGGATATCTTCGAGACCGTAAGGAGTGTCTCGTAATAATAATCTGTACAACTAAATTCTTGTAGAACTAACAATAAGTTGTGTTATCTACCTGAAATTTATTCTCTTTATATCGCTGTAATTATGAATGAATGTACGTATAATATATGTATATTGTACGAATATTTCTGAAACAGTGCAAACTTGTTAAAAATTGAAGAAAAAAGGATAATTAGCCTTATATATTAAATATTAAATTAAGATAATCTTGCAAAACTTATTAAATTATGCTACAGTATCTTTTCTTAACTCCGTTAAGTTGAAAATTAAGTTTTTACAGTACATAAGTATACATATAATAGAATTTTAATTTTTATTTAATTTTATTATAACAGATTTTATTTTAAGATAATTCGAATTCGTCAGTTAATTGAATTGTCAATATTGAAATTAAATTTAGAAAACAATTTTTACTAAGATTTGTTAAGAAATTTATAGTCACGTGAAAATGTGCTATCACTAGGACATTTTGTATAACATTAGAATGAAATTGCTTATTTTAATTCTGTAACGTGGCTGTGAAAAGATTATTGCAACAGTATGAAAGTGTGCTGAGATTTAAAGTGAAAATAATTCGTGCACGTTATGCGAGAGTAAATCGGGAGTTCAAGTTGGCATAACGTAAATCAACATTTCATAACAAAAGAAAATATAAAAGTTCTGTCGTTGAACTGATTATAAATCATAATTGAATGCAAGAAAGTGTCCCGTAGCCAGGAATCTACAACTTGTTCGAGTGATTCGTAACTCGTAATTACATGATATTTGGATAATTATTATTAATATGTTGGATATTAATTATTATTATAATTAAAATTTAATTTTAATCTTAAAATTAATTTAAAAATTTAATTTTAATAACAATTTTGTTGGATAGGCCATCAATCTCATTAACATAAAAAAAATTGTTATTTAAATATTCAAGTTTTAACTAATTGAAAATAAAACTATTTAAAAAAAAGAAAATTTTAACAACTAATTTGTAAAAATTATTAAAAATATATTTTGCTGGATATGCCGGTAATAAATGTGCAACCGACATTTCTCAAGGCCGGTCGTGCGGTCCAACAATCGTGCAGTTAACCGGCTGGCTAACGGACTTGATTCACGTCAGTAGATCTCGTGGTCAGATTATTCATGCAGCTCGCTTCAAACCCGAAGAAACATCTCGATACTACGTTAATAAATCTGCCTAATACAAGAGGCGCAGCCCTGGCGGCAATGCACGTAAGGCTTCTTTCACACTGTTGCATGAGAACACGCGTTTTATCGCGCTGGCTCGCATAAATCTTCCCACATTGCCGAAAAAAAAAAATTACTCTTGCGAATCAACTTACTCTACGTATAACAGGCAATTAATTTTTTCTCTCGATTGTTCTCTAGTTACATACATCATTTAAGTTTTATAAGATTATTAATGCAATGTGTATTATTGCGTAGGAACTTTTCAAGTGTGCGATCTTTAATGCATTCTTAAAACAATTCCGATATATTCTCGAATATCTTGTATCTAAATCCGCAAGACTAGACAAATATAATTACATGTTTTTTTTAAGATCACTTCTAATGATTTCTCGACTGCATTACCAATTATCGAACACCCTGTATAGCCATTCACTTATACGTGACAAAGTATTGTATATGCGTGCGGAAGAATCTTGAATATAGGACACTGCGCGTTCCTCCATGAGCCAGCTGATTTATTTCAATAGGAATTCTTAGCTCGAACTTTCTCACGAAACTGTCTTGCTGAAGTTGACACGATGAATTGCTCGATTTTAGAATAAATTAGGATTAATTAACAAATTTTGTTCAGTTCACTGCTTAAGAGAATTTCAGGAAGTCTTTTGTAGTGTTCATTATTTTTTTTCATCCTTTTTCTCCATCTTTTATCATATCCTTTTTAGACGTCGCAAAGCTGTCGGTTGGACAAGATCTCGTTACGTTTCATTGCCGAAGATATGGCTCATGGTGCATTGGCTCGAATTTCCGGTTCTCCATTGTGCATGCTCTCGTGTACTCGACTCACTCTTACCTTTGTCTTTGTTCTTCCTCCCTTCTATCTTCTTTTGCTTTCGAACGAAGGGTTTTATAAAGGCTAGATTGTAAGCGAGACGATTCTTTCGTATCAAGTTGTTCCGCCGAGCGTGGGTGTACCGCCGAGCGTTCGTTTACTTTGATTCTAGGACAGTGTTTCCCAAAGTGCACCGCAAGCAGCCGGTACGCATTCTTTCACGCACAGAGTTACTTCTTTATTATATAATCAATTTCACTATAAATGCTAATCAAGTTTTAAAATGCTGAAATAATTTTACGCGAGATATGAATGCAAATAAACGTGAAAAATGTTCATCTATTAATGGATGTATCGCTCTTATGTGTGTAATAATGAAAAATTTCACGTATGTGTGCATTTTCCCGTCTTATTGTAATATTTTCTCCTGATGACTCTTATGAAAAAAATAATAAGCTATGCAATGTTCTTTAAATCCATATAGCAATCTCATGTTCTTATCATACGCATCACTTTTACATGTAAATTTTGTTCTAGATGGACAGTTTTTCTGTTCTACAAAATTTTATAAAATCAAAGGAAGAGAGAGAGAGAAAAAACTTTTAATATGAAAGAGAATAGATATATTACAATATATTACATTATACTAATATTATGTATTTTTTCAAGCGTAAAATAATTTTTAAAGTAATTTAGTATCATGTTTTCTCTTTAAGCTATCAAGTCTTGTGGTAAATTAATCTTTTTTTTTGTAAATATATCTACAAATTTTTATTTGATTAGAATATTAATGACTTAAAGGTACGATTTGCATTATATTCAATTTTTATTTCAAGAATTAATTTTTATTTAAAGATTTTAGAGACTTTTTAGAAAATAGTATGTACAAGCAGGTTCGGGAAACGCTGCAACCTAGAAAATAGTGATACTTGTCGATTGTGACGATTATTTTTCTTTCCTTCGTGCGGCAACAACAAAACGCAATCTTAGGTAAAGGATGTGATGTTTATTGTAGAAGAGAATATGTTTTCAGCAGAATGAGCAGCGATACAGTCGCCACAGCGATAAACAGCCATCAAAAACGACGGTACTTCGAATGCATTCATCTTTTTTCTTTTGTTTTTCCTTGGCAATTTCACTTCCATCAATTTATCTATATTATTTTCGGTACTTCTCAAGATAGCTTCTTCTTCGACATCTCGAGTCGAGGTAGCTTCAGGCTGTAGCCTTCCTCGAATTTTTTTTCTTTCTCAATTTTTGCTGGCGTTCCTTAAAGGATCTCGTTCGATACTTCACCGCCATTCCTGAAGTATCTTAAGGTGCGACGTATTTCTAAAAAATTAATTTTGCAGTCGCTTCTGGGATCGCCTTCCGATCGTTACATTCCTTCTTCGCATTAAATAGATTGGAGCGAGTTGCATGCTTTACGCCTTTGATTTTCGTCCTTTTAGTACGAATAGCCTGTAATCCACGCACTTAAAGATGGGTAGGTTTCCTGCACGATGGTCAATAAATATGACGCCCACTCTTCTTATTAGCGCGAGAGAGTAACCATTCCCCGATTTCTCCTCATCTCGGAGTAAGATTACCACAATTGCCCTCTTAGCGCCGCAAATTGCAAAATTTATAGAGTGGCATTGGAATTCTGCGACATGTTTGCTCTTCGAACGTAGGCAAGATGTAATTATTGTGATTCTTTAGTCTTTTATATCTTGCAGATATTTTAATATATGTAGATATAATTATTGACAAGATTTCTAAAAAATCACATTTTGTGTTTTACAATATTTAGCGGAAAATTAACGAAATATATGATCTCTAAAAGAAATATTATCTTCATTCCGGTTTTTAAATGTTTTTCTTTCAAATTAATGACGTATAAAGTTCTTCACACACTTCTGTACTTCGAAATACCAATACTCAAAATCCCTGTATCTACTTATTTGCGTAATTAGTGTAATTACTGGATGTCAAAGCTCCGTCGTATGCACGTTGTTTATCGCTTTACGCCGTACATGCAAAAGATAAGCGTGACTTTGTTGGCGCGTTGGAGCGGGTAAATGGTGCTCGTGCGACGAATATCGAACAACTCGGAACAGCACGATATCGCTGCGAAGAAGGCATCTGGACCGAGAAGGTGAGACTGTGAGAGAAAGAGGGAGAAAGAAAGCGA